ACACTCACACTCTTTTTGCTACTGTTGAGAGACTGACAAACCCCCCAAATCAGATTGCCAGTGAAATGCTCTCCGACAGCAAATGCAATGAGTTTACTTCCTTCTTTTCTAAGATCAATAATATCAGGAAGGCGATTAGCACATCCCCAAGTTATGCAGAGGTTAGACATATTCGACCACAATATCAAAAAGAAGATACTATGTCTGCTTTTGAAGAAATTGATAGCAAAATTTTGGAAGAAATAGTACAGCACCTTAAATCGTCAACATGCTATCTTGACACACTTCCCACATATTTTTTGAAAAGGGTGCTTAACTGTTTAGAAGCAGATCTCTTAGAAGTGGTGAACGCCTCACTTCTTTCTGGGACTTTTCCAAACTCCCTGAAAACTGCAGTTGTTACAACCCTTCTGAAAAAGAGCAATCTTGATAACACCGTATTGAGCAAATATAGACCAATATCAAATCTTCCTTTTATAGGCAAGTTTATTGAAAAGGTAGTCTTTAATCAGCTGAACAAATACTTAAACTCAAATGGATACCTGGACAATTTTTAATCTGGTTTCCGACCGCATCACAGCACAGAGACAGCACTCATTAAGATAATAAATGATATTCGCTTAAATTCTGATTCTGGCAAAATATCAGTGCTGGTACTACTAGATCTCAGTGCTGTGTTTGATACTGCCGATCATAACATACTAATAGAGAGACTGGAAAACTGGGTTGGGCTTTCTCGGATGGTAATCAAATGGTTCAGGTCATACTTAGAAGGGAGAGATTATTATGTGAGTAGAGGAGAGCACAAGTCTAAGTGGACGTCCATTACATGCGGAGTCCCACAAGGCTCAATTCTTGCACCGCTCTTGTTTAGCCTGCATTTGCTCCCACTAAGTCAAATAATGAGAAAGAACCAAATTGCCTAGCCTATCACAGCTATGCTGATGATACCCAGATTTACCTAGCCTTATCGCCAAATGACAACAGCCCCATTGACTCCCTCTGCCAATGCATTGCTGAAATTAACAGTTGGATGTGCCAGAACTTTCTTCAGTTAAACAGTTAAAAACTGAAGTCATTGCATTTGGAAACAAAGATGAAGTTCTGGTGAATGAAGGTGAATGCATACCTTGACTCTAGGTGTCTAACAACTAAAAATCAAGTCAGGAATCTAGGTGTGATTCTGGAGACAGACCTTAGTTTCAGTAGTCATGTCAAAGCAGTAACTAAATCAACATACTATCATCTAAAAAACATTGCAAGAATTCAATGTTTTGTTTCCAGTCAAGACTTGGAGAAACTTGTTCATGCCTTTATCACCAACAAGTTGGACTATTGTAACGGTCTCCTAACCGGCCTTCCCAAGAAGACCATTAGACAGCTGCAGCTCATCCAGAACACTGCTGCCAGAATTCTGACTAGAACCAGAAAAGCTGAGCATGTCACACCAGTCCTCGGGTCCTTACACTGGCTTCCAGTTATATTTAGGATGGGTTTTAAAGTACTTTTACTCGTTTATAAATCACTCAATGGCCTAGGACCTAAATACATAGCAGATATGTACACTGAATATAAACAGACCACTCAGATCATTGGGATCGAGTCAGTTAGAAATACCAAGGGTTCACACAAAACAAGGGGAGTCCTCTTGTAGTTATTTTGCCGCCCGCAGTTGGAATCAGCTTCCAGAAGAGATCAGATGTGCTAAAACATTAGTCACATTTAAATGCAGACTCAAAACTCATCTGTTTAGCTGTGCATTTATTGAATGAGCACTGTGCAATGTCCGAACTGATTGCACTATATTTTATGTATAATCATTTTCTATTCTTAACTGTTTTTAAATTAATTTTAAACCTCTTAAATCAATTTTTAAATAATTTTCAAAGTTTTTAAATTCCTTGTTTTATTGTTGTGATAATTGTTTTATTATTATTTTCTTTTCTTTTATGTAAAGCACTTTGAATTACCATTGTGTATGAAATGTGCTATATAAATAAAATTGCCTTGCCTAAAGTAAAAACAGAAATATAAAAAGAAAAATTAATTCATATATTTTTCCTTTATTATATAGTTTTATTTATTTATATATGACTCAAATTAATTAATTGTGATGTTTACTAGCAATTTCTAAGTGAAAATTATTTATACACCAAATGTATTTATTTGTTCGCTCGTTAGTTCGTTTGTTTGCTTCCAGTGTAATGCAAACAGACATGGCTTTGCACATCAGATAATTTATTTGTTGATTTTTGTGATTCAATTAAAAAAAAAAAGATTAAAAAAATTTGTGAAATTAATCATTGTTGACAGCCCTTGTCTTCTTTACAATGAATGACTGTGAATTCACACACATGAAAATTTATTTTGTTATCATGTTGGTGTTCTAGTGGGATCTGCTCTTCTGTGTTTGAACATATTTGAAAGAGAACAGTTATCACACTGCTGGGCTGGGAATAAGATAAAGAGATAGGTAGGAAATGCAGATCGACAGGTTGTCCCTGAGACCAAAGCTTGTTGAAGAAGCAAGTGATTTGTTAGCTGCTTCAGAGATAGATGAGAAGATGGGAGTGAGGCTTCAACAATCTGTTCCGGCATGCATTCTCCCACTGTGACTTCAGCTGAGACAGGCTGAGGATCAAACAGCACACCCTGAAAGAGAGAAAAGAAGCCGTTCATCCACATTAAAAAGGGAAGACGAGTACGCAACTGGTGGAAAGTAGGTTTGATCCCTCTTCAGGAAAATGTTTCCCTGCAGGTTAAAAAATGAGGGTGATTTTTATGGTTATACCTCATTCATGTTCTGAGTTAAGAAGACAAACTTTGAATTATTTAGATTTGAGATATTCTGGGTTGCATTTGTTTTGCATATATAGTATTTGTATGCACTGACAAATGACCTTCGCTGTCTCTTTGATATCAGTTTATGTGTATAGGGCAATGAATGGACATTGTGGATAACTGGTGCTTTTGACATGTCCTGTGGAGTAACAAAACTATATAAACAGTGTTGCTGTTGTTGTTTTTTATCATTAAGCATGCATCTTTTATGAACTTAATATATTAATTGAGAGACTACTTGGAATATTTGGAAAAAAAT